AGAGCAAGCCTCCTCGCTCTACACAGGCTCTCTGCTTGACTGGCCCTTCTCTCCCGACATGAGGCCAAGAACTGGGGCAGCCTCTTCCACCTCCTCTCTGAGGGCCCCTCCTGGCACTCCCAGCACACAAACCCCGGAGGTTTCCAGCGTCTGCCTGAACACTTGGATCAACTCTGCCTCCTGCTCTGCTGTTCTTGCGTGTGTCGACGTGGCAGAACGCCTGGTTCCAGCAGGGGAGAGTGGTGGTCCATTGGCAGGTCCTGCCTGGCAGAGCCAGCGTCCTGTGGAGGTGGCATGAGCCACTGGCGCTGGCCTTCAAGGGTCAGTGGTGGGTGGCCTGTCCCCTCTTGGTCAGCCAGGCGGGTGCACTGTGGTGGGCCTCCTCGCAGGAAGGTGTGGCCCAACAAGCCACCCCCCAAACCGTGGCCATGGGGCCATGGTGCTGCAGGCAGGGGTGCGACGTTGCCTCTGGCTGGGCCTGAGATGTCACCCAACGCGCCTCCTCCATGGGGGGTGTTTGCCACTGTGGGCTGCGGAGCACTCCCTCGGGAGGAGACCCAGCTCAACGGGCCGCCCCTGCTTGTGGCGGCATCTGCAGGTGTCGCAGCAAGCAGGGACGTGGGGCAACCGGTGAGAAGCCCCTGAGAGAGCAAACAGGCCTTCCTTGACAGTGAGAAAGCTGGCCCAGCATAGCTCCCCGCACATTTCTCCTTCTGTCTTTTGGAATATTCAGTTGCCAGTAAGGTAAGTCAAGATTTGTTAGACCTTTCGTTCTTGGCAGACTTTAACTTCCAGGTGCTGGGGTGTTCCAGGAATAGTTTGGAAAACCTTTAAAAATTGATCTACTTGTAAATTCAAAAGTCATTTAAAGCTCCCTTCTAAATTGTGATAAAGGATCCCATAGACAACTGAGAGAAGTCCGCCGCCTAGTGGTGATGGACATGTAATTTGTTGCTGAATTTTGGACAGGTCTCGTTCTCAGGGTGCTTGCTGTGACGGCTTTTCTTGCTCGTCCAAAACAGCTCTGGGAAGCTGGGATCTGGGCTAGGCATCTGTGGGCTGCAGCTGGTGGAGAGGATGTCTTCTCTTTCCAACGCTGAGCCATTTTTCCTTCTGAGCTCTTTCTTGCTCAGCCTGTCTCGGAGCGAGGGGCAGAACTTCGGGGCAGTCGTGTTTTCCCTGAGCAACTGCTCTTGAAAGGCCACTGCCTCTGCGACTGGAGGCATCACTCAGCCAGCACGACCAATCGTCACCCCTTCTATCGTAAGTCATTCAGGAGGCAGCTGGACAGCCTTCTGCAAGGGAAGCTTCCACTGGAGTCCTGCATTATTTATTTATTTAAAACTTTCTATATCGCCCCATTGCTGAAGTCTTGGGATGGTTTAACAATACAAAATGTAAAAAAATTAAAAATTAAAACACGTCATCCTAAAAATTCAACTAACAATAAAACCCTAATTAAAACAGCCAGGTCTTAAAACACGGGGAAAATAAAGAGATTTTGGCCCAGCACCAAAAAGAATAAAGTGACGGCACCAGGCGAACCTCTCTGGGGAGCAGAGGGGTTGGACTTGATGGCCTTACAGACCCTGTCACTTCTACTGGGCTATGATTCTTTGATAACCAAGGGAGCGCCGAAGCTGTAAAAGTGGCAGAGATGAGTCTTGCTTAAATTGCATGTATTGCCTTTCAGTTGTAGTTGCTAAAGCACATCTATTAATCGCACGAGACAGAAAAGGGCAGGTTGTTATCCTTGGAATCTACAAGCTCCTCAGAAGGAAAAGCCAGCCCTTCCATTCCAGCCTGCCATATAAATGTTTTCTTTCCAGTCTTCCAGTCTGGTTTCCCCATAAGGTCCACACAACACGAGGAGCCGTGGTGGTTCATAAGCCACGGGTGGCCTCCTGCCTTGGGTGGACCTAGCCAAGGCATGGGTTCACACGGCACAGCAAACCATGCCGAGTGGCTTGCTTGCCTCAGAGCTGCCGTGGGGCTCTGGAGCCACCTCCGTCCTGGTCCTCCTGCAGGTATCCCAGGAGACACGGCAGGAGAGCCAAGCTTTGCTCCCGTCCCTGCAGCTCCCCCTGGGGCATTCTGGGGTGGCTGGCAAGAGTGGTGGCCAGCCAGTTGCTTGGCCCAAGTGGTGAGCCATTCTGCCATTCTTGCCAAATGGCTCCATAGGTGTTTGACTTGACTGCAGCTGGTTGTGTTACCCGGGTTTGGGGTGGGTCTCTTGGCACAAAGAAGACACTCTGCAAGTCTGGATAACATGGTAAGTCCCTGTGACTCTGAAGCAGCTGCGATTCTCATAAAGGCCCCCTTCTTCCTAGAAGTGTTGAATTAAAATGTGAAAGCAATTCAGCACTGAATAATGCAACCTTCCAGTGGTGGTCAAAGAAACAAAAACTTGTTTCTGTTTGGTTAGAGGCATCTTCTCCAAGGTTGCTCCTTTAACTTCTAACCTCACTAAGTTTTAGCATGGGTTCACATGATCATGGAGGGAGAATACGTCGCAGTGGCTCATGCCATTCATTAGCCACATTGTAACATCCAGACTCAGCAAGGGTGACTGGCTGGGGGGTTTCCAGACCATGGAGCCGCCATGGGCTGCAGGGCGCTTTACAAGCCACCGCCTCACCTGCTGCACTGGAATCATGCCGATCAGGTGGCTCGCCAGCAACACATGCAAAAGGCCAAAGACATGCCTCTGGTTTATCTTCCCTCCATGACAGGGTGAATGCAGCCTTAGATAGCTATCCTTGACCGTTTGAATTTTGATCTGCATTGAAAATGATGCTTGAGTGATTTTCCTCAATTGCTCGACCTTTAATAACCTAATTGCATGTTGCATACCAGTTTGGGAAGAAAGCAAGTCATCCTGCTTTCCCCAGAAGTGGGATGCAGAGCAGAAGTGGCAGTGCAGGACTTGCTTAACTTCGTCCCTGCACTTTGTTATTTCTCCACTCCTATTTGCCCCTCAAGGTTCTCTCCATCCCAGGAGCATTGCCTTATGTACAGAGTTCTGTGGCTTGTGTGTGCCCGTGACATGCAATTCACGTATTCTTCCCAAAGCGGGGCATTCGTGTACCTCAGTGCTTGCAAAATTGCTATAATCTGCTGTTGCGCCACAGTTGTGCTGTGGGAAAAATGGTGAGAGGAAGTAAACAATTCAAATAATCTAATTGAATTAGGGGAAAGGTAATTTGTCCTGTTATTTAATCCTAAGAACGGGCCGAGGAAGGAATTTGGGGAGCTGCCACTCAGCTCCCAACAATGGTGTCTGCATCATCCACGTAATTCTAATATTGTCAAGGTTGCAAAGTCTTAGAAGCAGACTGGGTCAGTGCGGACTTCTTGTTGGGCCGTCCAGCACAAGTCTGTGTGGAGACAATGAGCTTTCTGGAGGCCAACATGCGGGAATGGCGCCTCTCTGCTAAATAAAACCAGGCAGCTGAGCTGCGCCGAACTGTGCTGGGGGAGAAAGGGAAGTTTCTTAGTGTTATGACAGCTGCAGATGTCTGTGTTGTGAGACAATGTGGAGTCCTGAGGACAAGGAGGGGAAGGGCTCAGGCACTCCGCTCTGAACGAATCCAATCTGCTTCCAGAGGACTTTGCTGCTGCGAACAATTCCATCAAAGTTTAATGTGAGAAATTCGGTTGCATAATGCTGGGGACAGAACACTGGGTCATAAAGGAGACCTTATTGCAGAAGAATCCTTTGATTTGCATCGAGCCATTTCAGGAAATTCATTTCTAGAGATCGGATTTCATTCCTGATGCTTTTATTTGCTTCCCCGCAGTATTTCAGCAATGAACAGAGTATCGTTTCTTTGGGAATTCCAGCTGTGGCCATTCTAAATGCTGAACGCAACACAGCGTCTGCTCTCTGGTGGGTATAGTGCAACCGAGTGTTTTCCTGGTCACAACGGTGTCTTCACACTGCCATCCAGTGGAGTTTTCCAAGTGGTTCAGGACTCCCTGCAAACTGGCCTACTAGGAGACATGAATGAACTCCAGGCAGCGTATTATTGTTGTCAAACTCACATCTGCCAAAATGGGGATACGAATCAACCAAAGGAGGTTCCTTTTGGCCTCACTTCCTCGGCCAGTTCTAACTGATCGATGCCTGAAGAAGTGCTTGGCTGCGTCCTTGGCCTTCCCTTCTTAGACAGCGGGACGAGATTGGCTGGGGACACACATCGCAACAAGCAGCCCTGCGTGGCTGCCCAAAGGGGTGCCATTTTCCTTAAATGATGAGAGGATCTGTGGTGGAGTGACTTGGCTTGTGGTGGTAGGTTTCCCCCTCCCATCACCTCCTTCCCTCATAGTCCTCCAGGCGGGATCCCACAGGGAGACTGCTCCCATGCTCCCACGGGGCCAGAAGTCCATTCTGCGGGCTGCCCAGTGTCCCCTGCTCCTGTCCCGAAGAAGGTCTTTGGGCCAGGAGCCAGGTGGGGCATGATGGCCTCTTGACTCTGGCCCGCTTTTGGCCCAGCTCCTGTCCAATGTCTGGTGACGCTGGCCATGCCATTCATTTATTTATTGCACTTCTAAACCACCCAGTAACTCACATCCACTGGTCGTGTGAAGATTGAAAACCTCAACCCATCAAGAGCAAGAAACAGTGGAACAACATCCTTTACTGGAATGGCGTGAATCTCATCTTGCCCGTGGCCTCACTAGCTGGCCATCATTCAGCCAGTGCCCTTCGGCCCCCCCTTGCAATGTGGTGATTGAAATACTGACCCACTCTCCAATTGAATGTAGAGCGTTTTGGACATTTGGAACACAAATGTTAAATAAAATTGCCATTAACTTTTCACCTTTGCCCACTGGTTTTAATGAAATATGAGAAGTGGAGAAAAGTATTTATTCCTGTGTTTTGGCTTTTATTATATTGTGAATTCTCATCATCATCATCATCATCATCATCATCAATTTATTATGGCTACAGACCAAAAAACTTAATAAACAAATAAAAATAGGATGAGTAAAATAAAAACAGTTTCCATGAGTATGGTTTATGCAATATCTTCACTCCAGAGGATGGACCACATGTCCCCCAATTTGCACTGCAGTCATAAAAAACTTGGCAATGTTTTCAGTGATATAAGAGAATGCATCCCTTAAACAAACTGGTACCAAAGTGAATAAATTATTTCCAGAAAGGTCTGTTCTTAATGGTACGTATAAATAATTTTTCTCCGCATTGCCCAGAAAGGGGCATGAACCACTGTTTCTACTGCTCCAGCAACATCCTTAATAGTGCTAAAAGTAGCACATTACAGTGGGAAAGAGTTCATTTATTTATGTTCATTTATTTATTCCATTTATATGCCACCCTGTAGCCCAAAGGCTCTCTAGGTGGCTTACAATACATGCTCTTCTGTTCCTTAGACCACAGATATGTACGGATTTGGGGATGCAGTAATTCCAGAATTAAAGCAATTATTGCAGTTGCAGGGAAATAATAAGGAGCAGGTTTTATTAGCAGCACTGCCCAAATGTTGAAGCGCCAGGCCTTCGCACTGGGCCTTCTCCAGCCCGTGACTGCCAACACTTCAGAGAAGCCTCGCCTGTCCAGCCTCTTCTCCATTTCTCTCTTCTGATGGGCAGCATGCGTGTCTGTATGCAGTAGCAAAAGGCAGCTCCCAGGAGCAGCTAGAAAATGAAAAGCTTCAGCCCATGTCTTGCACCTGGCAGACCGAGTCCCTACCTCCAGCTAGGTGGCTGCATTCCACACCTGGGGAGGAAGGCCCAAGGGTTCCTAGGAAAAATAAACCAAGCTTTCTCCATTCAGAAGTGAAATCCCAAGATCCAAATGGGATTAATATAAATAAGTTGGGCAATTTAAATGGCCAAAACGATTTACTATCCCTCTTTTGTATAGCACATAATAATAAATTCAATTTCTTTCTCATTCTCTCCACCTCTTTTCTTTTAATTAATTACAATCTTATATTCTCATTTCAATTTATAATGTATCTCCAGTAAATATTTGTCTCCATTATCTTGATATGCAGAATAAATTTGTATCTATCTATCTATCGTTGATATATACCATCATTCATTTAAAAACTCATGATGTTTTAAGAAATACAAACGTCCTTCATCTTGTTTTTGAACAATCTATACTCTTTGTCAAATCAGTTTTTGTTTTTGTGGTATTTATTTCCAACCAGAGAAGAATCTGCCATGAGGGTCCTCTGTATACTCGAGATTGTTATCATGTAATGTACAGACTTTTCTTCATCAGGGGAGACCAGGGTGTTAGGATATAGTTGCAGACTGGCAGGGGATGCCAGGAACAAGTCAGTTGTACACTGTGCCTTTCTGTCCACTTACTTCCCTTCACACACGGGGACAAAGATGTGTCTGGCAGTGAAGAACTAATGGGCAAGTGGATCGCTGTGGTGGTGTTAGGGAGTCAACTAATGCCAGTAATGGATAGTGGTCACGCTGCACAATTATCAGCACAGGAAGCCTTAATTGCCCTCTTAAGTGCCTGAGAAACAAGGACGTAGTCAACAACACTGCTCCCTGGCATTGAACGTAAGGTGAACTCACCCTTTCACATGGAGTACTTCCGTTCAAGATGGCTTTATGGTGTCCGCATGCTAAAAGAGCTAAGCACACTACACCAGCAAAGTTTTGGATGGCATCCTTACAATAGCTAGTACTCATGGATTGTATCCTATCATATGGTTCTGTGACTCCACAAATAAATTGTCATCAGGGCCCAGCCAGGCATTAAAGTCACCAGCCAGAAGGACCTGGGCTGATGGAAACTTTACCTTGGTATGAGTGAAATATTGTTCTAACTCTTCCCACCGAGCTTTACAATCAGAAAGGCCACTGGATGGAGGTTCATACACATTAAACATCAACTGGGCATGTTTGGCCTTGAGAAGAGAAGACTGAGGGGGGACATGATATCCCTCTATAAGGACCTCCAAGGCTGCCACAAAGAGGAAGGTCAAGATTTCTTCTTGCTGATGCCAGAGTGCAGGACATGGAATAATCAACTCAAGCTGCAACAGCCCATATTCAGGCTGGACATCAGGAGAAGCTTCCTCACTGTCCAAGCAATACAACAGTGGAACCAGCTGCCTGGAGAGGTGGGGGGCTCTCCCAAACTAGAGGCATTCAAAAAGAAACTGGGCAGCCCTCTGAGTGGGATGGTGTAAACTGGAGTTGGATTTGATGGCCTTTGTGGCCCCTTCCAACTTTGCTATTCTATGATTCTATGAAAATTTGAAACCATCTACTCTTAATGAGGGTTGCCACAGCATCAGTTCCACTAGAAGAGCCACTGCTTCCACCTTAAGAGATGCTGAGAGTAGGCATAACAATCCTGCTCTAGGCCTACACTTCTTTGAAGGTTTAATTGGTTTTTTTTAATAAGTTTTATTGTTATTTTCTACTAACGAACAAAACTAACAAAAAGAAACTAAAAAATCATCAATCAACAGAAACATCAGACCTACTGGGTCAGCCCCCGCAAACTTTTTCTTTTTATGATAATCCATAAACATATTTAAATCTATGCATAGTCCCATTTCTCTAGCCAATGATAAAAAGAGTACCAGGTTTGATAGAAGTCTGTATCTTCTTTCTCCTTCAGAGACAAAGTCAATCTGTCCATTTCCACACAGTACAAGATCTTTTTTAGAATCAGTTCATCGGTAGGTGGCTCTTCACTCATCCGATGTTGGGCAAATGCAATCCTTGCCGCAGTGGTTACATGTAAAATCAAACACATTGCTTGATTACCAGCATCCTCAGGTACAATGCCTAATAAGAAAACTTCAGGTTTAAATATTAGAGGTTTTTGTAACATTTCCTCAAGCCATTTGTGTATTTTAATTCAATTTTTTGCCTTACTACAGGTCCACCACATAGGATAAAAGGTACCTGGTTGTGTTTACTGAAGGTTTAATGGTTGCCAGCGAGGTAGCAGTACATCCATCGAACATTATTTGTTCACATGCCCAAGTCTCCTGCAACAGAACAATAGGAAAGAAACTGATATAATTGAGAAGTGATTTATCCCCAGTCTTCCCTCTTCCATGAAAGGCATCTGATTCCAGATAGTGAATTGTTCCTCTGCTCGGATGCAGAGTTCCCCCATGAAACTGATTAGGGAAGATAAAAAGGAGAACTCATACAGAGCATAATTAAACTCTGGAGTTCATTTTCATGAGGTGTGGCCAACGATGGCTGCTAGCTTGGAGGGCTTTAAAGGGGGTTGGGCAATTGCATGGAGGGGAAGACTGTCTCTGGCCATGTGCTCCTCTTGGCTTGCACCCCAGCTGCTGTGGAGCTGGGCAACGGGTGAGGTGGCCGCCATGTCCAGCTTGCAGGATCCCACAGGCAGCTGGCACTGCACGAACCACGTGCTGGACTAGATGGATCCCACAGGGCTGACCCCACAGGGCTCCTGTGTCCTGGAGTGAGAGCCAAGCCCTGCAGAAGAGCCAGCTCTGCGGCACTCCCCTAATCTGCTGTAGCAGATCCAGGCCCAGAATCTCTCATCCGATTCGGCAACGAGGCAGGAGCAACGCTGCAGCCTGGTCCCAGAACGGGCCAAATGCAACAGAGGCTCCTAAACTTCCGTGGAAATGCTGTATCTAGACATTCGACTCTGGGATTCCGGGATGACTGGGAACTGATGAGCTGCCCCATGGCCTGACTGTCATACTGAAGGTGCCCCACAAAGTCTGCCAACTGGTCTGCCCAGAGCTGGGCTGTGACGTGAACTGGGAGAAATGCCAGAATGTGGTTGATGTTCGGTTGACACCCTTCGGAAAGGCCAGGCTGTGGATCAGGTGAAACTCAGTAGACGCTTCTTGGGCACAGTGCCCAAGGATGGCACCTGCAGGGTAGGAACAGGCAGGGATGGAGAAGGGCTTGGAAGATGACGGACCAAAATTTCTGGTTGATCTTGGCCACTGCCTCCATCTCAAACACAGATTCTTGTTAAAATTATGGGCTGCTTATCATGCTTCGGGTCCTTGAAATGGGATGGTGAACCCCACGGAAAGCCCCCCCTCCCCAATGTGTGTCGCATCACCATGCCTAAGAGAGCCCATGTGCCCCATTTGACCGAGGTGGGGCCCTTTTGGAGGGGGCTGCTATTCCTGTAGCTGCTGCATCATCTTGAGGCTGCTCATTTCCCTGGCTCTGGACCAGGTGCTGGCCAACGCCATCTGCACGCTCATGCCTACACTGGCACGAATCTCAGCACTTCAGAGAGTGCATGGCTGGCACATGGCGGCTGTGTATTCTGCCTCCCGCAACAGAGTCTGGCTGCAATCGTAAATCCCACCCGGAGGGCATCGTCTTTGCAATCTCACCTCAGGGAGTGCTCAAGTCTTGGTGTAGGTCAGCCAAGCTCCTCCTCTGTGTTCTGAGAATGCCTGATAAATAATAGCTACTCAGGAAGTCTTTGCTGAATGATTCCAATGTAGATAAGGCAGCTGGGTAAACAATGACTCTTTTTCTTTGACTTATGGCATTCCTTTTGAGCATCCTCATGTTTTTCAGGCACCTCCGGCTCCTTGAAGAGCACAGAGAAGATGTCTATGGATTTGCCTTGTAAAATGTTCTCCTTGGTAGCCCAGAAAGATGGTCTTCCAAAGGAAAAGAGGTCACTCTTGTAGGCAGAGCAGTATAACTAGCACGGGGAGAACTGTCTGATGGCAGGTAGAAGGGCTCCCCTCAAGGCTGGGCCACAAGACCTCCAGGCAGGTGCAAAGGCTCAGGTAGGGCAGAGGCCAGGTTTGGGGCATCCAGCTCCAGGACAGGGCCAGCAACAGCAGGCAAACTCCCGCAGAAGTCCTGGGTCGCCCCCTTTGCAGAGGCCGGATTGCCTGGACCAGCAAAGGCGGACCAGGCTGTGGCGCAACAGCCATGCCTGAGGTGGGCTGGCAAAGACCACCCACAGAGCATAGGCTGGGCATGAGGGCAGGACGGCAATGGCGGGAAGGAGGAGCAGCCACCCCTTGGCAGCAGCGCTGCTGGCCAACTTGGCCTGGGGCCGCAAGGGCCAGGAAGGGTGTTCCAGTCCTCAGCTGGCACCCACTAGCTGTGGGCACAGCTGGGACTGAACGTGCTCTGCATTCTGGGCTTGGGCCAGGCGCCTACTGAACCCAAGGCTGGGGGTGCTGCAGCAAGCCACCTTTGCGGGAGCTGAGAGATGAGGCCACCATGGAGGTCCCAGGGGGGTGGGCTTGGTGGAGGATTGGAAGGCTCCCATCGGAAAGCTCCCCACCTGTGCCCTTGAGGATGTAAGGTGAGCAGAAAAGCAAATGCAGCGCCCATGCCAGGCTGGTCCTGGCCTCCCCGCCATGCTCCAAATTGCCCTGAAGGCCGGGAATAGCTCCCAGCCGCCACCACCCCTGCAGTGGGTCAGCCCAGGCCGGACGAGCGAGTGGGTTTCCTGCACCTCTGAATTGACTGCGCCAGCTCAGCGGCCCTGATCGGAGGAGGCTGGGGCCGGCGTGGTGCCCTGGGGCTAATGCTGTTCTGATGCCCAGCCCTGCGCACCCTGCCAGCCCCTCAGCCTCTCCCCTGCCCCTCACACAGATGTTTCCCACTCCTCCCAGTATGGTAGTGGAGGACGGGAGTTCCCAGTCTGCACCCATTGGCTCCGATAGGTCATTTCTCTCTGGTGCATTGAACCACATTTGATGGGCTTTTCTAAGGACACCTTCCATTGTTTCGAATTTGAAGACCCTTTTGTCTCAGGGCCCTACATGTTCTAATTAAAACCTGAACAACAGGCCTGCACTGGAAAACACTGAAACAAAGGGAGCCGTTTCCACCCAATGACTCACCAGTTTCTCCCAAGGTCAGAAATACTCCATTGTTAGGCGTGCTCATAATTGGGACTGTCAGGCCAGAATGAGTGAAAGCTCGGCCGTATCATGGCTGCTCAGGGCTTGACTGTGTAAGAGCTGCCTCAGATGCCGGGCAGGATCCCTGACCTGATTGGGCACTTGAGGCAGCGGTGCTGCAGCTTGCCTGCCCTTCGGGGGTACGCTCAGGAATGCCAGTGGCGAGTCTGTCCCGAAGGGTCTTCCTTTCGCATTGTCTTAGCCCGTTGTTTTACTCTCGTGTGCTTCTAGCATACTGTGCACCTGATCCCCCACCTTCTCCAAAATGTGCGTGCAACTGATGGGTTATAAAAGCATCTCATACAGATGCCATCTTGGAAGTTCCTTTGAGGGTAACAGCACGCCGCGTGCATGTCCTCTTTCGACTGGTCACACCCTGCAGTCTCCCTCCAATTTTTTCTCCTCAGTCTGTTTTTTTCCCCTTGTCAAGAACTTTCCGTAATGTGCTCAATTGGAAATATCACCCGTTTGTTTTCTTATTGTGAGCTTCTGTTCAGCATACAGAACAGAAGTCGAACGTGATGACCTTGGGCTTAGCTTAGACTCACATTTGTGCCGTATTTCAAGTGAATAGTGAAATAATGAAATATTGAAATAATGAAAGCGTCAACATGTTGTCTTACAGCATACCTTGATCTGAGAGGCACCTTTGTTTTTATTTGCTTTCAAATATGTATAAAGACCCTGGCCCCACAGTGAATCTATCCGGTGCACAACAGAACAACCATAAAAGAAATCCAATGCAAGAAAAACACAAACAGCCATCAACTAAAAATCAAAATTTAAAAAAACTTCCAGCATATATTTAAACTGCCTTAGACTACACGTGTTTTATCTTCTGAGGAGAGGGTGTTTCAGAAAGTAGGTGCAACTATGGGCAAAGTGTCTTTTTTTAAGTAGTTGCTGCAAGTCCAGGAAAGCCAGTGTGGTGTAGTGGTGAGGGTCTCAGACCAGGACTGGAGGGATGTGGGTTCCAGTCCCCGCTTGGCCATGAGGGTCACTGGGAGACTTGGGTCAGTCACTGACTTTCAGCCTAACCTACCTCACAGGGTTGCTGTGATGATAAAAAGGAGACAGCTATGTGAGCCAGCTTGGTTTCCATGCAAGAAGGAACATCTGGGATTGGGATTAGGGTCTAGTTAATCTGTAAATGTACATTTCCAGAATGTAAATGTAGATGTACACTTACATTAAAAACACGGATGACCACAGAAAGCAGAAAGGTGGAGGGCCGTCTCGTCCTCCTGGCAGGATGCCTGCGCTGGTAGATTGCAGAAGAAACTGGGAACCTCCCAGTGCCTCCTGTTTGCGTGGCACCCGTGCTCAGCACCAGCATCCAACCACCTTTCTCCTTTTGCAGTGGCCCTTTAAGCAGCCAGTCCTACTAGGGAATTTGTTCTGCCATGCAAGGACCACAGCTCAAATCCTGCTGGAGCCCCGAGGCTCTTGCTGTGCCATCAGGGCTTCCTGAGCTACGGTGCTGTTCTCATTTTGCAACACTCTGCCTGCCGCCAACTGGGCTCCCTCCACCAGAGACGGAGGCAGGTCGCGCTCCAGTGTGTTTGAACGCAGCCTGTGGCTGAGCAGCATCCTTCTTCTTCTTCGCGTCCTTTGAGAAGACCTACAGAGCAGAGAGCAGGTGAGGGAGACCTGCCTCTTTCACGTCCTCCAGGGCTGTCTTGATTGAAGGGAGGTCCAAGATGTTCACGTTAGCCATGCAATTTTGACCCATAACAATCTCTGCATTTTAGGGTTCATAATGTAAAAGATGAGTCATGAGAGATGCCAGATTTGCAGATTAATCTTACTTACATATATGTCTTATTTCCCCCTTAAGGTTTGCCAAGAGCATTTCTTTCTGCTACACTAGGAACAAAATCACAGCCAAACCTCTTGAGTATTACATACTGCAGACTCCATCTCTTTGGCGCCCCACATTAATTTCCTTCAAATGATACCGAGGGACCTATATGTTACATTTACACTATAAACTTGACAAAATTTTGGCCTTTATTTATTATCATTTGTGTAGAAAGCATCAGTTTGGGTTTGCTTATACCTGTTGTGGAGGGAATTACTTCACCGCAGATCACTTAAAATGGTTTTGGCTTTGTAGATTTGCTGATGTTTCTGTTTTCATTGCAACTAAATTGTACGTATGATGTATAAAAATACAAATCTCTTATGTATAATAAGTTAGGGGCAGACGAGGGATGGAATGGTGAAGAGAAAATGAAGCTTTCTAAATCTTTGTGCAATATGAATGTGACTTAGATGATTAGGCACAATTCTCTGTCAACATTAAGAACATTAGAGCCATTTTGGTCATAAGAGTAAAGCCCTTTCTAGCAGCCTGACCTTACAGGGTTGTGGAGGGGAAAAACCCTTTAAATATAAAGAAACTCCAGTCCACTTAAGAGAAAGTTACAATCCAAGCAGACTTTTATTCATGCTACCGTATGGTCAGGAGAGGTCCTTAGCTGAGCACCCATGGATTGAGTGAGGTGCAACACAACTTCTTAAGGGTCACAACAGTTACCTCCAGTCTCTGCTAGCACACAAATGAACAGGAAGGAAAGAACATGGCATCACAAACAAGATTATGATGCCTACAGAATCTTATATATGGGGATTTCAAAACATTTTAACAGAGAAAGATGTTTTCTTTCCAGAAACATAACCTTCAAAGTGTAGGATTGAGAAATCCTTGGCTATGGTAATACTTGGTTTCATAGTAAACATAAACTGCATAGCTTTGACTTAATCTTTAAACCACGTCACTTTTAGTTAGGTTAATCTGACTAATTTTCTTCCACCTTGCTCTTCTTATGGGAAGAGCATAAGTTGGGTAAAAGCACAAAATCTTCCAAGTGCAGAGGCTCATGGGCTCAAAGAAAGAGAGCAGAATTTGTGACAGGACCCGCCCTGAACAGCTCATGTCACGTCCCTTGTTTTATTTCCTTGCCAATCATTCTGTGTGTTGCCCTAGTTTTTCTGCCAATGTCTAGTTAAGAAGACAGGCGCCCAGGTGCATGCGAAGGCTGCAGTTTGCTGGCAGACATGTTCGCCATCGCTAAACCAACACGGTTTGATGTCAACATGCATCCAATGGTTGCACCTACCAGTGAGAGAGGCAGATTCCGAGAAGGGGATATACTCGATTTTTTATTTGATTTTTTATTGTATTTGTATGCTGCCCCATTGCCCAGGGGCTCTCTGGGCAGCTCACAAAAAACAGAAACAACAACCTAACATACCTGTAGAAAAATAAAAATATACCATCTAAAACCACATAAAATTCTACTAATATAAAGTATGAAACAGGAAGATAATATAAACAAGAATAACAACAGTAATAAAACCAGCAGCAAAAGCAGTAAAACCAGGATTCTAATGGCAAATGCTAAACTAAAAAGTCTTTACTTGGTGGCAAAAACATAATAATGAGGGTCCCAGATACACCTCCTTAGGAAGAGAGTTCCAAAGATGAGGCGTGATATCAGAGATTTCATCTCTGTGTGAAGGCGCATGATGGAGATTTGGGGAAAAGGCTAATCCTTGAGCTTAGGGTTATGCTCCCTTCATCCTTCTTGAATCTCCCACTAACTTCACTGGATGATCCCCCATCTTAGTATGCAACAGATAAACAATGATAGCCCCATCTCCTTTCATCACCTCTTCTATCCCTTGCTTACCTCCTGACAGTACTCAACAAACGTTTTAGCCGTGCCTTGTAAGAGATTCATCCAACCCCTTGATCGTGTTCGCGGCTCTTTTCTACACCTTCCCGCCTTTACAATATTCCTTTTCGGCTGAGCACCCGGAGCAGCCACGCTTTATTCCCCTGGATCTCGACCACACAGAGCACGAGTCAGTGGACTAGGCAGGTGGATGCAGTCCACCTCAGGTCACGCAAGGGCTGTGCCACGGCTCTCTGCCGACCAGCCGAAGGCCAAGCAGAGATCTCAGCAGAAGGCGCTGCTTCTAGGGGACTGGGCAGCTCTCAGAGAAGGGCATGCAAGCGATAGATAGCCAGGTACTTCCCTGACGTAATGCGGAGCCACGGGTTCGCCTGCCTGGTGAAGTACAGCCCCGTTGCCCCTGGGTGGTACAGCCAGGACGGGACCTCCGGGTCAAAGGCAGGCCTTCAGTGCTCACGCCTGCTTCCACAGGCCCCTTGGCCCCGGGCTCTGGGCACAGGCGAGCAGCAGGGAAGCCACTTCTTCCGTTCCTTCTCTTTCTGGAGTTCAGGCTGCGTGTGCTGTTGTTTCATGGATCACATGGTGCCCCCCCCCCCCACTCAAGGGGAAGTATTCGCTGGCTCACATGGCAGTTCTTTGAGGGGGTTAACCCAGAATGGCTGGATGAGAGCAGAATGTGCTCCGAGGCCACGGAGGGACAGGGGTAGGGAGGGTGGAGTGACACAGAGAAGGGCATTGCTGATAGGTTGGAATAAAACACGCTCCACATTGCAGCGTTTGTGGCAATTCTCGCTTGTGCTGTGAAATACCAACAGTCTTATCTCTGGATGTCATGGATCCAGCCTTCTCCCCTCTCTGTTCTGGAAATACCATTGCACAAAGAACATTGCCAGCATACAGAGCAAGGCATGTGTTCCAGGGTGGCTTTCCTGCTTCATCTCCCCCAGTTCTGGTCCTTCACCCTTAAAGGAACTGGGGAAGGTTCCCTCCCTGACCGCTGCTCCAGAAAAATGGCCATTTCTTTCTACCTGGTATTTTAGCTTTGCTTTCGGGGAACTTCTTGAAGCTGGTTTCTGCCTGCCTTGGGCTCCCTCGAGATTTGTTTGGGGCTGGTCTCCCTTTGGCTGCATACGCCTCAGCACTTGGAAGATTTATCCCAAATTAGAACAGGGAAGGGGAGCTTGCAAAAACATGTTGCAGAACACAATGCTTCTGTTCAGGACTCCAGCCACTCCATTACCTCCCCCTTCCCCATTTTGTCCTTGCAAAGCACATTGAGCGTTCTGTATTTAATACGCATGCTCAGTCTCATTGGGCTAATTTTGAAGTCCCCCCTCTTAGGGTTGTTTTCCTTAAATGGTTTTGCATTTCTGCAAACTGGCACAAGGGCCGTTGCCATGTGACTGTGCAAAGGCAAATACGCACGTTCGCAGGCACGTGGCTTGTGCAGAAGGCGTTCCCGGCAGACTGGCATCCTTCCTGGGTGCTCATGTGAACTCTCAGGCTGTTCTAGAAGCTGCTGTATCTTTTCTTTTGCAAGTTCTGACAAGTCGAAGACATTCCCAGCTTTGTGACACTTTAATTATTGAGAGCATTACAGGTCTGTCAGTGGAACATGCTGCTTATTCTCAGTTCACTCATTCATTAGTTTTAATTAAACCCTTTAATTTTATTTATGCTGTCATAGAGTGATTAACAATTTGCCATCACAAACAAGGAAGTCTTAAACAGCACCTTGAGAAATCTTCCTTGTGCTATACAGAAATCTGATATAATAAGGTGCAGCTCCGCAGAGTTCTGTAGTGTTACAGAAAATGCACCAGAAGTTCCCACAACAAATTTAACCATTTTAGGCGGCAGCCTTATGCGCACATACTGGGGAGTCAGTCCCATTGAACACAACAACATTTACTTCTGAGTAGACCTGTGTTGGACTGTATTGCAGATGGGTGCCTGGTATTGCAAAGAGCTGACAGATGATATTCCCACAGTATATTAAAGTTGCTAGTATGTAGCCTATTTTTCGTCATTATTGTCTGCTACAAATTATACATTGTTTGCTAGTAGAGGGGCAGACCTACCAGTGTCTGATCTGAGTAAAGAGGTTCATTTTCCAGAATCTGATGGATTTGCTTTAAAAAGATGCTCTGGGCTCTGGATTGGGCATGTAGATTAGGATCTGCCCCCTGGTGATCACATCATTGTGATGATCTTTGGGCCAGGGACATTCACCCTTGCCTCTCCCTGGATCCCGTTGAGAGAGGACTGGAGCTTCAGTTTTCAAAGCGCACTGGCTGTGCTCACACGTAATGCTAAACCACGCCACGCAGTTGTTGCGCATCAAGGTGTCTTACCTTGGGCCCCGGGTTCAGACAGGCCCATGGAATCATAGAACAGCCTATTGTTTCTCTGCGTGGTTCCACAGAGACCATGCATACCATGCTTCACCATGGTTGACTCAGAAATAATAAGCCATGCCACCATGGTTTCCACCATAGCTTTTTGTTGTGTCCAAACCCGGTCACTCAGGGCACATCCACTCTCATCACTTGGCTTCTCCTGAAAACATCAAGCACAGTCTGAAGGCACCGGCCCACCTTTTAAGCTGGAAGGGGGCTGCCACATTTCCTTTCATTGCCTGGGCATTACTTTCCTCTAAAACAAAGCCTGGCTTTCTCAGAGGAGTAACCTGCCCACCAGTTGCTACTGGGCAATTGCGCTTGCGCCCAGAGCCAAAGTTGGGCATCAAGGCCTGCAAGGAGCATGGTGGCTTGCCAGAGGGCTTCCTGGTCCGCAGGGCTGGCCTGGGCCCCTTGCCTTGGGCATCCCTGCAAAAGGGCTCGCCAGAAGCCAGAGATGGCGGGCTGGCACACGGCAACCATAGAGCACGAGGGTACCACGCAGTCAGCTTCCCGGTGCACGACTGCTTTTTGCACGATCCACATGGCGGGTGAGCACTTCCTGTTGACCCTGGTGGTTTTCAGGGAGCTCGAGAAAGGTGGACGGATGTGGGAGGAGAATGAGGGCATCCTACTCGTTTGTGCTGGAAAGTCGCAACGAGGTGTGGAACCTCTTTCAGCCTGAGTCCAAATTCCGCTTGGGAGATGCTCTCAGGACCCACATTCCAGTGGCGGGCAAGGAAGGGCTGGTCTCCACATATGAAAACACACCGGCTCTAAGCAGAAGTAACTAAGCCTGCGGAGAGCCGTTCCCTTCGGTTAGTAACACTCTGTCCTTTTCTTCGGAAGAGAAAACACGCCAGGCAACAGAGTTCTTTTATTTCAAAAGTTTATTGCAATAAAGGGAGTCAGAGGGTTTCCTTCCCCTTTCCAACTCCCAGAGCAGGTTTACACCTCACATTTATGCCCTTTTCCCATGTGCTCTTCCTGCCGCTTTCCCTCGTTGGCCGAAGGGCCAGGTGGCTGCAATCTTTCCGTCCACCCATTTCATGCCGCCCCAATACCTTCCGCTTCATATCTCCCATGTGCATTATAATGAGCTTATTTTCTATGTGGGGTGTGTTAGTTAATATTCATGAGGGCGTTGAGCAAGTGTACTGCTATTTTCTCTACAAGCCAATTCCCCCTCCCCCGCTATTTGATTGCAGCCCCCTCCCCTCTATGGCTAAGGCATTCTCCTAGTTACATTTCCACTCTTCCTGTTTCCATGTTCCAAATCACTTCCTTTCTCTGTCACCCTCTTCCCATTCCCAATGGGGGAAACAGTGCGGGAGGGAGGGAGGGGCCATCCCTGAGCCATAAGTGTGTGTGTGTGTGCGTGGGGGGGGGGTATGATTGCAAGGAGCTTCTCAGGTGCTCCACAGGCGTAGGCCGGTGCTGCAGGAGGGGTCGGCTTGCCACGCAGGCCTGGGGTCCCCACCTCTGCCTAAGATGACATTCCAAAGGGCTGTGCTCTGAGTGAAGGGGCACACGTGTGCAGTACTCCGTGTGGGCCAGGCATTGCATGGGAAGCAAGCCTTCAGAAAGCTGCCTCAGGGACTCCCTGGTGCCGAGATGGACGGCGCAGTTTTAACCTTGTACAATACGTGGAGCGACGAGCTGGTGCGGTGACATCAAACCAATGCACAGAAAAGGGCGGTGAGAGAGAATTATTTTATTTATTTATTTATTTATTTTTCGATTTATATCCTGCCTTTTTCCTCAAAGGGCTCAAGGCAGCTTACATCATTCTCCTCCTCCATCTTATCCCCACAACAACACCCCTGTGAGGTAGGTTGGGCTGAGAGTCTGTGACTGGCCCAGAGTCACCCAGTTGGCTCCATGGCCGAGCGGGGACTCAAACCCAGATCGTCTGAGTCCCAGTCCCGTGCTCTTAGCCACTATGAAGAGATCTGTTTTGTCTGTGTTTGGGGGATTATCAGGCATCTTTTGTTTTGCCATCTGCTCATTGAAATAACTGTATTTTTAAAAAAAGAATTTCAAGAATGTTATCCCTGTTTGCAAATGAATTTCAACAAAAAATCCATTCCGGTATGCAAATTTTCACACACTCATGCTGAAGGCACACTGGGAGACATTCCCTCCCCACAACCACCCAAAAGAAAGGTTTCTGGGAAACAAAGTTCGCAAGTTTCCCACTGTGGAGTCTTTGGTCAGATTCATAGAAATTCAAAGCCTTGAATCCGCTGTGGATTTCTCGGACATCCCTCTCTCAGAGAGGCCCAAGGGTCGCTGCTCTGAGAGCAGATCTCAGCGCTATCATGTAAAAGTAGCATCCGAAGCCAGACGACCTGTTGAAAACACCTGATGAGTGAGCACAGCACGGCAGGAGCATTGTGCATTCATTAAGGAGAGCAGCATCAGAAATTGGAACATGAATGCTTTGAGGAGTGTCAAATGGGCAACTGGTGAAGGTCAACAAGAAATAAAAGCTAAATCCCAATGTTTCTTCAAAAGTACAGGTTGTGTTTTCTAATTCAATATACTAATGCACCATCACTGATGTTCTGAAGAAGGTACGCTCCACCAGAAGTTGTGGTAGAAGGAAGGCAGCATCTCCCAGCACAGCATAGTAGGTGCTTATGTATTTACACAATTTTCTTTTGATATGTTAAAAATTGTGTTTGTTGATTGATAGTATTGCACTAAATGATGCAATTCTATCAGTGCTTGTCAACGTAAACTTTGTTTGCAGCTCAGCTAATTTGATTAACATTTCCAATTTATTAAAAGCAATGCTCCAGTGATTTCTGAGAACTGATATCTCTTCTGTACCGAGCTGAGATTTATTTTTCTTTCCAAAGATTCCCACATGAGTACTCAGATAAATAGTTCTGCAGGTGCACAACATTAAAACAGTGCTAAATCTCTCTAAAAATCCCACTAAAATTCATTAATTTATGTTAATTTTTTCAAGTGAATTGTTGATTGTTGAGAATCACCCCACAAACCATCATTTCATTCCTCATCTCTATCTGCTTTAAATAGAGCATCACACATTTTGTCAAGAATATCTTCGTTAAGAATTATGTGAATATGTTTTTTATTTGCTTTGACTTTTTAAAACTGTTGCTCC